ATTTTCTAAACTTCTATTTAAGATAGCTCATTTCCCAGGCCAAGATCATTTTGGATAACAATGCTAAAAGTTGGATAAGACACTCTTAGACTTATTTTACTTTAAAATTATACTTCATTGATTGCACATGGAAGATTCATTGCCATTTTTGAATTTTGATGGATACAGGCTTACTAACATGCCAATATTAGCTCTACTCCTGTGTATCAGGGTACCCTGGGCATTTCAATCCCTAACTATAGGGATCAGGGATGACAAGACTTCAGGGTGAAGGAGTCATTCAGCTGGACCTTGAAAGTCAAGTGGGATTTTAGAAGGGGAAGAAGAGGACACTGGTGTGGGGAAGTATATGGCCTACATGGTGAGAGGCAGTGAAGACCCATTCAGGACAATCATCCTCTGTATTCTGTATCAGTTACCAATGGTAGTCCATTGATGGTCTCTCAGCAGTGAGGAACCTGGGCAGGGAGTTTACCCTGATGGCAGAGAAAGCAGGGTATAAGCCGATTAATGGCAAGAACAGTGGAAGCTCAGTTTGATGAGTGGTTCCCTCATTCTGCCTGTTCATCACAATCACTTAGTGATATCTAACCCCCATCCCAGACTTAGTATCCAGAATATATGAGGGATAGGGCTCAAACCTGTGTGTTTTTTGTTTGTTTGTTTTTGGGGTTTTTTTGTCTTTTTCCGTGTCCGGCAACGGATCGCAACCCTCAGTGTTGCCCCTGTACCGGACTGGGGACCGGCAACGGGATTGCAACCCTCGGCGTTGCTCCCGCGCCTCGCTCAGCCAGTGAGCGGGAACCGGTCTGCATGTGGGATCCGAACCCTCAGGCGGGAGCGCCGCCGCACTTCCCAAGCGGCACACTTATCCAGTGCACCACCGGGCCGGCCAAACCTGTGTGTTTTTAACAGGTTCCCATGGTGATTTTTCTGTAGCCATGATACCATTAAATTACTCTGACATTAATGATGACCCGTGGTGGTGGCCCAAGAGACAGAAAAGGAATTCAATAGAGACCATTTGAGGAAGATACTGGACAGGACTTGGTCATCTTAGACACTGATGGTGAGGGAGGTACTGAAAAGAAAACCACTGCTTCAGTTCTTAACTCCTACCTCTAAGGGAGTTCCAATATGAAATGGCAGAAACTCTTAGATACTTAAGAAAAACCTTTAAGGGCCGGCCCGGTGGCGCACTGCTACAGTGCGCCGCTTGGAAGCGTGGCAGCGCTCCCGCTGAGGGTTCAGATCCCACATACAGATCGGCCGCTCACTGGCTGAGCGAGGTGCGGGAGCAACACCGAGGGTTGCAATCCCGTTGCTGGTCCCGGTCCGGTAAGGGCGCAACACTGAGGGTTGCGATCCGCTGCCAGTCACGAAAAAAGACAAAAAGGAAAAAAAGAAAAAGAAAAACCTTGAAGACAAAATGAAGTGAAAGGAAAAGGTGGGAAGTTTGCAAAGGGCTGCTGAAAACAATATGCTATTCTCTAAAGCAGTTTTTCAACCTTGCCGCTATTGCCATCTGCGGCCAGATAATTCTTGTTGCAGGGAACTGTCCTGTGCTTTGCAGGAGGTTTGGCAGCATCTCTGGCCTCCACCCACAAGATGCCAGTAACATTCCCCGTCCCCACATATGACAACCATAAATGTCCCCAGACATTGCCAAATGTCTACTTGGGAGCTAAATTGCTCCCGGTTGAGAAATGCTGTTCTAAAGACATAGCTCTTCAACCTTAGCAGAGGTCTTAAAAATAAGAACATGAAAAAATCTAAAATGTATCAAGATTCAATGTGATTTACTTCTACTCACAAACAACAAAAAAGCCCTAGCAAATGCTTGTCTTTGGAGCTGAGACATTATATACTTATTAGAAGCCTTAACACTTGACAATTCCAAATAGGAAAGAACTATCCAACCCAGAGAATGTAGCAAACTCAGAATTAAATTAAGAAAAGGAAAATTGAGGCAGGACAGCAGAGAGAGTTCTATTTCCCACAGGAATTGTTAGCAGCACCTCTCTGGAGACCCTGAAAAGTACACACGCAGAATAAACTCAATGCTAGTCTGTTCTGGCTGGGAAAGATGACTGGTTAGGGAATTGTCCCTTTTCTTATTTTCGTATCTTCATCAAGTCTCTTAATATCTCAAGTTGTCTGCTAACTCTTTTCATATTTGCATTTAAATGGAAAATAAAATTCTGACATGGGTGGCTTACTGCAGACCATCTGACTTTTTTAGCCTTTCTGTGTTTTGATGTTGCTGTGCATGAAATGTTTAAGGAAAAGAGAAACTTTTGTTATATAGTTAATACCTCCTCTAGGGAGAATATTGCTCTGCCCTTATAGGACTGCTGTCTCACCTGTGGTGTATGGTCAGCAATGATTTTAAGAAAAAGATATAGCTTCTAGGGGCACCAACCTGGCCATGGAAGCCAGTCACAGCTCCACAAATGAATTTACTCTATGTGCATAAGATCCATAAAAGACATAAAATGTTTTATACAGTTCAAGTCACATTGACTTGGATTAATAAAGGAAACAAAGTTTTATGACTTCAAGATTATTCTCAAGTGGGATATCACTAAAAAAAAAAGCAGCCCAAGCATCATGAGGGCTTAGGGAACTGTATTATGTTTCTACAACTTTTCGAAGTGCTAAATGAAATGTCACTACCGTTGAGGATTTAGCTAGAGCAAACTTATATTCCCAGCACACAGAGCCAAAATGCCCCTAAAGGTTTGCTTCCTGCAAATACCCTCTCTAACTGCACATAAATAGAGAGAGAGAGAGCTGCTCTACCAAGAGAACTACTTAGATATATTCTTCTCTGGAATACAGTTCGCTTCTGCTCATGGTCTTCTATTATATTTAAATGTAAAAATCAATACAAACATAATCTTCTAAAATGTTATTCCTTAGTCTACCAGAAATACAGTGAAAGAAGATTTTTTATCGCTGATGGATGTAAGACCCTAACTCATTAGCAAGTCTAAGATTTTTATTTAAGGAAGGACTTAGGGAAAAATGGCTAACAGGGGCTGGGGGAAGGAAAGTGTAGTTATCTTAAGGCAGGGTTTGCCTAGCAAGCACACTGGGTTTACATAGTTGGATGTTTATTGGGAGTGGCTTAAAAGCTGAAAGGAATGATGGGCGTGTTAATATCCTTGCTCCAGCAACAAATAACTCCATAGATTTCCACTGTCCTGGGTATAAAAAGCATATATCAGGTTATTATCCTAGTCATCTCAATATCACTAATAAGGACAAGTTGATAATCACAATTAATATTGAAAATGATCTTGATTTTGACATGTTATTTCAACTAGACAAAATAAAATAATTAGCTTACTATTCTATTGATGATCTGGGGTATGAGAATATCAGCTAAAGTTTTCATTTAATTTATAACATAAAATCTTATTTTATGATATCTTGTTTTAGATTTAGTACCTTTATTATATTAATAGCACTATATTTAAATATATATTTTATAAAATTTTATTTATTGTAATAGCTCATGTACATGCTTAGGAGAACTGGCAAGATCCTGACTTTAGTGGTTGAAGATGAATAATAACTCAAAGTGTTTAGTAATTCAAAATATTCCCCTAAAGGGGAAAAAGTAAAAAAGGCAAGAAGTCATTTACTCTGTATATTTCCTAAAGGGTCAAAGCTTGACAACAACCAGAACCAAAGAATCACTCCATTCCACTATGTCCAACTCTAATAATCTCAAAATGACCTTGGTCGTATCAATTTCCATTCAACAGATAGGTACTAAGGCATTCAGCTGGCTCTGAGACTACCAGGGTAAGCAAAAACAGACTCGGGGCCTCACTTCACCGCTTTCCCACTAGACAGAATCTCTAGGTAGTAAGCAAATAAGTATAGCAACCCACGTAAAATGTTACCATACTAAATGCTCAGAGATACAGGGGACAGGAATCCAATCAGGGAAAGATTCCCTGAAGAAATAATGGTTAACTAGAAAAGAAGGGAGGGAAGGGAACAGCCACGGCAAAGGCATCATGGTAAGAGGGACTAACAGAAGGCCAGGATGTTAGGAGCAGAAAGAAGGAAGGTGTGATGGCCTGCCAGGTTATTTATTAAGGACCAGACAGGCAGAGCTAGTGGACCAAGGAGCCAGGGGAAGGCTTTGGAAGATTTTGGGGTGGACTAGCTTAGAAGATTTGCATTTCCTAAAGATTACTGTAGTCATCACATGGACACTAGACTGGAAGGCAGCAAGGAAGTAGTCCAGATGAGATGGCAGATTGGATGGGGGCTGTCAGTGTAGCAACACAGAGTCATGGAGAGACCAGGTAGTAAAAATCCCAAAGACAAAGTAATCAACTAGACTGGAAGGCAGCAAGGAAGTAGTCCAGATGAGATGGCAGATTGGATGGGGGCTGTCATTGTAGCAACACAGAGTCATGGAGAGACCAGGTAGTAAAAATCCCAAAGACAAAGTAATCAACCAGACATGGGGAGATAAAGAAGAAGTTAGACTTTTAGCTGAAGAATTGGACAGACAACAGTGCCCGTCAGAGACAGATGGCCACTTGGGGAGAAAATGGTTGATGCATTAGACTTGAATAAGAGTCTTCAACTACTCAATCTCCTTTAAGGCAGCAGGTGTTTCTACTAAAGTAAAATAAGTATGTGAATTCTTGCCATGGTATTTTGATACACTGGCCTGTCAACTCTGAAACTTCTACTTTAAATAAGGCTCAGGAAGGAGCTGAAATGAATTTAGTGCCCCTGCTTAAAATAACAAGTTCACCCACCAAATCACTGCTCTATACAATCTGGCACAAAGGGTGATGCTGGGAATCGGCCTTTTCAAAAAGGCCAGCACCACAGACTGGCAATGCCCAAGCAAGTTTATCAGTATAAAGTAATGCTCTCTCAATAGCAGGATGAAAATCAAGGAGGAACCCCCATACTTAACAATGTACTGAAATGGTAAATTATAGTTGTGTTTTGTCTATACTTGCCTTTGTAGTTTTGACTTTATTGCCACTGCTACAGGACCAACCTGAGTAATCTGGCAGCACTTTACAGTCCTCTCCTTCCAAACAAGGATTCATGTGACACCACCATTTCTGAATCACGATGGAAGCTGGAAAACAAAGGCCAAAAAATATTTCTGAGATGGTTTCTTCCTCCAAATATAGATAAAATAAAGCTCAATATAGATTACTATGCTAACTTCAAAGATTGTTAATAAAAGTTATTTCACCATAAGCACATTTAAAGAATCCGATCAGCCAAGTACTGTACAAAATGAAATATTTTTTTGCAATTGGCTACCCAATTGTAATACCGCTAGTGAGATCTCAGGCTTTGCCGTGGCCCTGCTTGGGTTTGAATCTGTCTGTGCTATGTCCTAGATTTTTGAATGACCTTGGACTAGTTATCTAACTTCTCTTAGCTTCAGTTTCTTCATTTGAATAACAGGGATAAAAATAGATTCTTACTCCACGATGTCAAGAGGATAGAGCTAGTTGTCATGGAAGTCTTTACCGACTTTGGGGCAGTCACAATGTTCTCAGAAAATGTTAGCCATTATTATGGTTATCATCTTTGGCTGCATTTACGGTGGTGGACACTGATATTGTAATGTTGTTATATTTGATGTGCTCTGTTGTCAATAGCAAAGACACTTCCTGTTGTCTCTGTCAAAGATTAATTGACCACATATATGTGGGGTTTATTTCTGGGCTCTCTATTCTGTTCCATTGGTTTATGTGTCTATCTTTAGGCCAAAACCATACTGTTTTGATTACTATAGTTTTGTGATATAGTTTGAGATTACGGAGTATGATGACTCCAGCTTTGTTCTTTCTCAAAATTGCTATAACCATTTGCAGTATTTTGTGGTTCCATACAAGTTTTAGGGTTGTTTTCCCTATTTCTATGAAAAATGGCATTGGAATTTTGATACAGATTGCTTTGAATCTTTAGATTACTTTGGAGAGTATGGATATTTTTTATCTTCTATAATTTCATTCATCCATGTGTTATAGTTTTCAGTATAGAGATCTTTCACCTCCTTGGTTAAATTTATTGCTAAGTATTTTATTATTTTTCATGCTATTGTAAATGTGATTTTTTTGTGTGTGTGGCTAATTCTTTGTCAGTGTATAGAAACACAACTTATTTTAAAATTTTTCACAACTCATTATTGAATGTTCACTTTGTATCCTGCAGTTTTATGAACTTGTTTATAGATGTCAAGAATTCAAAAAGAATCAATGCCATTCCTTCTCAAACTCTTCCAAAAAATTGAAGAGGGAGAACACTTCTTAACTCATTCTATGAGGCCAGCATTAGCCTCATACCAATGCCAGATAAAGATGCTGCAAGAAAAGAAAATTACAGGCCAATATCCCTGATAACCATAAGCGTAAAAATTCTTAACAAAATACTAGCAAACCAAATTCGACAGCACGATAAAAGGGTTATACACTATAATCAAGTGGGATTTTTTTGCTGGGATGCAAGGATAGTTCGACACACACAAATCAATAAATGTGACATAATACATTAACAGAATAAAGGATAAAATAATGTCAATAGATGTACAAAAAGCATTTGATAAAATTCAGCATCTTTTCATGATAAAAACTCTCAACAAGGATGCCCACTCTTGCCAATTCTATTCAAAATAGTACTGAAATTTCTGGCAAGAGAAAGAAGTAAAGGCATCCAAACTGGAAATGAAGAAGTTCCAGCAAGGCTTTACAAATCCTAAGAGCTACTTCTTATTGAGGGCCGGGCACCCTGATAATTTTCTCCCCTGCATTTTCTAATTTAAGTCTCACTGCAACCCTGACATTAAAAATTATTTTCCTGCATTTCACAGAAATAAAAAAAACTGAGGTCCAGAAGTATTAAAGTGACTCAAGCAAGGTCACATAGTTTGAAAGTAGTCAAACTAGCATTCAGGTTTTGGTTTTTTGTCGTTTATTTTTTTAAAACAATCTCACCTTATAANCTTGCCAATTCTATTCAAAATAGTACTGAAATTTCTGGCAAGAGAAAGAAGTAAAGGCATCAAAACTGGAAATGAAGAAGTTCCAGCAAGTCTTTACAAATCCTAAGAGCTACTTCTTATTCAGGGCCGGGCACCCTGATAATTTTCTCCCCTGCATTTTCTAATTTAAGTCTCACTGCAACCCTGACATTAAAAATTATTTTCCTGCATTTCACAGAAATAAAAAAAACTGAGGTCCAGAAGTATTAAAGTGACTCAAGCAAGGTCACATAGTTTGAAAGTAGTAAAACTAGCATTCAGGTTTTGGTTTTTTGTCGTTTATTTTTTTAAAACAATCTCACCTTATAACTGCATGGAGCTGTGTCACTTTCAAAGCACTTTTACCTACTGTTCCTCTTCTGATTGTCCCAACAACACTGATGAAGCAGGAAACGGAGGAAGATGGTACCAGAAATAAAAACCAGAGCTTTCTGCAAAGTGAGGAGGGAGGTACCAGAATCTAGAATTTCTTCCACTCTATCCAGCAGTCTTTCTACTATACCACAATTCACAATAATATTTTAGATTAGTAAGTGCTGTGTAGAGTCTTATGTCATTCATTATTTTCTGAATACCTTGGGTTGGTCCCAAGTGGATGTAAAGATAAATAAGAGATGGTTCCCAAACCTCAATTTAAACACCATCCACAGGACTAGAAAAGTTATGTAATTGTTGACAGAGCTTAGTTATATTTACAGAGAGTTGGAACTGAATTTAAAATACTTTTTTATCTTTAAAATTCGTCCTTAGACAAACTTACTTTCTTCTGGCAATGGGGAACCCAAGTATGTTGGAGAGGTATCAGAAGTACATGCAAGACTCAAAAGAAGTCTTGACAGGTAGCTAGCAGTCTGGCCAAGTGAAGGCAGAAGAGACAGTGAATGGTCCACCTGTAAGCCAGTAGACCCAAGCGGCTGAAGTGAGAGACTGTCAGGAAAGCACTGGATGCACAGCTGAGGAGGATGTTTGCGAAGGAACTGTTAGGGGCTTTCGAGGACAACCCTAGAGTTGGTTCTCGAGGCAGTAGAGAGCCACAGAAGGTGTCTGAGCAAGGTAGAGCAGTCAGGTAGTGCCTAGAAAAAGAGCTTGACAGGGGATGACAGAAGAATTTGGGAAAGAAACAACTCCAAAAGAGAAGACGGATTGAGGTGTGAGTGAACTGAGAAACTGGGGAATAAATCCCCTGCAGAGAAACAATGAATCAGATTATCTCAGCTTCACAGCAAAGAAATGCGGGCACTTACATACTGGACCCACAGGGACACAAGATACTTCTGATGCCAAAACCTAGAAAAGGACCTTGAGGAAAAAACCGAAATGATGGAATCAACTGTCTATCACAGAAAAATAGGCCACTTCTTAACTACAGAAAAAATTTTAAAGGTATTTGTCTACTATTGTACTTAAAGATTTAAATAAAAATAAATAAGTCAAAGAAGGAAGCATATAAGATCAAGATCAAGCTCTTATGAAACGATTTATCAGTTTTCCTCTATTTAATTGAAAAAGTATAGAGTGATTTTTTCAGCTAAAGATAGATTTGCAACAGACTTCTTAAAAATAACAAGCTACCCTGGAATTTAAAATAGTTCTGTTTGTAAAAAATAATAATTTTTTTATCTTACAAAAGAATACATTTTGTAAGGTGCTCCCATCAGTACACACTTTATTTGTGATGGAGTTTTTCTGTGAAATGCTTAATAATTACAAATGTTCTTTCAGAAAACAGAGACATAAGAAGAACCACTACAGTAACCAAAATGAGCTTTTTAGTTTCTTTATGAGTTAAGGATTGACTGAGGAACTCACAGCCAAGGTGAGAACCAGCTGAGGGTTTGACCTGACAGTAAGGCAGATGATTAAACAGCCTGGAAGTTCAAGCTTTGAGTGCATCCTGAGCCCGGCTAGAGTTGAGACAAAGGACCCAGAAGTAAGATTCTATTAAAATAACTGTTGAGAACATCTGCCCACTTTACTGAGCCTTATCTCCACAGGAAAATAAGTTTGTAGGAGGCATATATTTTTTTTCCTTTTACAAAAATCATAATATACTTTATATGAGAAAGTGTCTTGTCACTTCTATTTTTAAAATGTAATTCTTTAAAAAGTCCCATGCCTTCCTGACTTATGAAAACACATAATATCCCTATCTTCAAGCTGCCAACCTATAATAAATTTCCAGCTTTACACAGAAAGGAAGAAAAAATAAAAAGACAGCGAACCCCTTCCTGATTTTGTGGTAGCAACTAGTACATTCTATGTTTTCTAGGTGAAAATTTAACGTGACTAATTAGCTGTTTTGATTCTGCTGCATTTTCCTTGCTGTTGTATAAAACTGAGTTTTATTTTCTGAGTTTTATTTTCTCTTGGTTAAATAAAACACGATGGTGTATCTGTATAGCTATTAGATAAGCCCACCTTAAAATTAGACTAACAAAAACAGGCTCACTTTTTAAGTTAGTCTCTCATTTGTTGACTTAGATTTGTTGACTTAGTTTAGTTATATTTACACGGAGTTAAGGCTTTTCTGAAGTAAAGTGCAATTTTACACTGCAACTTTGAACAGAACAATTTTAAAAAGTCTTCCTAGAATGTATATCTTCTAGAATATGTTCTGAGATTGTAATGAATTGTATTTTTAGTTATTTTGCTCTACCACTGTTATTTCAAAACGCTCACCATGTTCTTTAAAAATTAAGCCACTAAATAACTTTTATATTTCTCATTATTTCACAAAAAGAAGCCATACCAACCTGATCCAGCTAACATACATACAGCAGTAGTTGCAGCACTAATGATTTCTTTAAAGGAATCTTACTTGCTCACACATTTTGTAAATAACACAGTATTGTAATTTCCGCCAAGTACACAGAGTACTGAGTGAGTCAGTGCATGAGTATGTATAGACTGATCTTTTGTGATTTAAGTATCACACAAGCACATCCACGTATATCGGGGACCTCTAAATCAGGGTTTCTCAGTCTTGGCACTATTGACATTTGGGATCAATTAATTCTTTATTGTGGAGTCTGTCCTGTGGAAAGTAAGATGTTTAGCAGCATTTCTGGCCTCTATACTTGAGA